GGCAGATGCACAGTGTTTTGATTCCAGGCACCACTACATTGTTTGATGATGCTATGCCACAGATGCACAAATCCTTTCGCGATTATATCACGAGTGAGTGTGCACCACCTGGATTCCAGATCATGCCTGAGGATGCGCACTTCAAGATTGCAAACTTACCCAGAGCCAATTCCGGATAAAAATTGGTGATGGTGGGAAGACTTAGAAATGTTGCTGTGGTGTAGTGGTCTAATGATGTGCTCTGTGTATGATGTTCATGCCCATTTTGCAATGCTAAGGCTGCTAGTTCGATTCCCAGCTACACAACATCATATTTAACATTAGTTATGAATGCACTATTTTTGCAAAGGTGATTCTGCATAAAGTGAAAAGCACTGTAAGTAATATTTTGAACTGGTATGGTTGATGAGATGGGCAAGATTTAGTGTACTTTGTGAAATTTTAATCTATGAAATGCTTGTAAGATGCATAATAGAGCTCCAGGGACCAGAGGAGCCACCAAGTGAAAAATTGGCATTTTAAAGCAAAAAAAGTGAAAATAGCGGTTTTGGGTAACTCAGATTTTGGAAATTTTTGACTTTTTGGATCTGGGTTCCAAGGGTACTTTCAGGGGTCCTGTTACTTGCCACATTCAACATGAATTTGGATGTCTGGACTCTGTGTAAGGTGTCACAGCTTGACAGCAGATGAGCAATTTGTGGACCAAAAAAAAAAATTTCAGGAAATGCAGCATTTTTGCCTAACAGGTTTGGAGATCTGCTGGTAGGAGGATCTTCCCCGTTTGATGGACATCTCGGATCTGAGTTGAAGGGTGATGACATTATTATGATAGGATGAGCGTGCCAAACACAGTCACGAAGGTCATGATCCTGTGACACATATGGTAACGCTGTCACAACTTGCTAATTATCGATGGACTTTCGAAACTTGTTCGAAACAGGATCTTGCGTCCAGCTTGCATCCCGACGAAAACGCACCTCTTCAAATCCAGCGACTGGTGTTGCAAAGGCGAGGCAGATAGATAATTGCCAAGTGCCAATCAAATGTGCTCATGAGCACTGTTTTTGCCAGCGGTGGCTTGACCTCCGAGTTATGTACAATTGCCTTTTTGGAAAACAAGTACGCATCCAGTTCTTGGTATAAAGAGCGCACTTACCATAGCCATAGTATACCCAAAGTGGGCCGGGGCCTGCATAGTGCATCTACAAGAAGCTTCGGCCAGCAAATGTGAGCAAACGCGGTCCACATCTCTAGGGCACTGTCTGGGTGACCGGCGGTAGCTCGGCCTTCACGGAACACTGTCATCACAGGGCGTCTTTGAGAACGCATCTGTATCCCACGCTTCCTCCATGCTCTTTTGTTATCACTCCTGCACTCGTTGAACCTCTGTCTCTTTCTTTTCTGCAACATAGGCTGTTATGGTTGCGGCGAGTCCTTTTTTCCGAGGGACATGGACGTTGAAGAGGTTTAACGCTACCATCATCAACGATGTATGGCCAGAGGTCGCTTTCTTCTCTTTGGTTGCATCCAGTAAGCCTACCCCCTCATTCGCCTTTCTATCGTGCTGACAGTTGTTGTGTAGTGGTCTGCTTAGTTTCAAAAAAAACTGAGCATCATCTTGGGATCAACAATCAGCTTTTGACTGTATTGGGTACGGTTCTTGGTTTGGTTATTTCATTCAGAACATCTTCAGCATACGAGAGGTATCGTTGACCATTGTCGGTTTCCAACGCCGCTAATCCCATC